CTCGATGCCGTAGATGCCCTGCGTGTGCTTGATCATGTAGCGCTCGCACTCCTCCTTGCCGACGGTCCAGTGGCGGATCGTGCGGTCGCAGGACCCGCAGAGGAAGCTCTTCTTGTCCGGGAAGAGCGTGATGCACATGACCCAGGAGTCGTGGCCCTCGTACTCGAACTTGACCTCGCCCGTCTTCAGGTCCCAGTGCTTGATGAGGTTCTTGACGCCGCCGGAGAGCAGGTTGTCCTCGTCGATGAGGCAGAGGCACATGACGCCGCCCTTGCCGTGGTCGTGGTTCTTGTGCGGGCCGTCCTGGCCGTGGTCCAGCACCATGGGGTCCTGCGCGCCCGTCTCCAGGTCCCAGAACTTGATGAGGCCGTCGTCGCCGCCGGAGGCGTACTTCGTCTCCGTGATCTTGCAGAGGAAGCGCACGCGCTTCCAGTGCGCCGCCTCGATCGTGCGCTCGCAGTCGAGGATCGGCGCCGCGAAGGACGCCATGGCACCGGGCGCGGACCGCGACGCTGGCGCGCGAGGCGGCGGCAGTCCACTCGAGCACGCTTCTTTCCGATTTGGGACGCGCTAATTGAATTGTGCAAGGGGCCGGAGTTTCGCCACCCGGAGTTTGGAACGATGGCGGACGCTGCCCCCTCGCGCGCGTCGACCCAGACCGCCCCGCGCCTGCGGCGGGACCAGGCGTCGAAGCACGCCCACGTGCGGCACCGGGCGAACCTCGAGGTCGGCCTCGGGCGCATGCTCGCCGTCGCGGAGATGCAGCTGCGCGCGACGGCGGCGACGAACGACGACCTCGGCGACGCCCTCGCCGAGGACCGGCGGCGGCTCCTGGACGCGGCCCTGTGCGCCCTCGCCGAGGCGCGGGCCCTCGGCGAGCCGTCGGAGGCGGCGAAGCGGCGGCGGCGGGGCGCGGCGCCGCCGTGGTTCCAGGGCGACGTGCTCCGGCTCGCGCTGTCCTTCGCCGCGCGCGACGGCGCGGCTTTAGGCGCCATCGCCGCCGTGTCCAAGGCCGCGGCGGCGGCGTCCGCCGGCGCCTGGGCGGACCTCGTGCGCCGCGAGGCGCCGAGCGTCCACGCGGTGCTGGGGAGCGCGCCCGCGCGGCGGCTCCGCCGCGTCTACTTCAAGAACCTGCGCTACGGCCCCGCGACGCCGCCGCGGCCGCGGCGGGTCCACGGCTGCGTCGAGTTCATCGTCGACGGCGTCGTCCGCGCGTCGTCCGTGGCGGCCTTCGGCGACGCGGGCTCGCGGGGCTGCTCCGTGCACGTCTTCGCGCCGCCCGTGCCCTTCAAGACCAAGGCGGACCGCGTCGGCGGCAACGTCACCTACGACGGCTTCCACCAGCCCGTCGTCATCCAGGACTTCGAGGTCCGCGCGCTCGCCGTCGCGGACCGCTACGCGTGCTCCTGGACGGGCCACAGCGACGAGCGGCGCGAGTGGCAGCAGATCCACGCCGTCGACGACCGCGACGAGCCGCGTCCTTGCGATTGTTTCGAGAGCCTTCGACCGGGGAAACGGCGAANAATTGTAGGCGACGAGCCCTACTTCGACTCCATGCTCGCCGTGCTCGAGACGCGCGTGCCCGTCGACAAGGACTGCTCCGTCTGCGCCATCTACCGGTCGCTGTGCGACACGCGCGGGGAGAAGC